TCGCGACCAAATCTTTTTTGTTTTGTATGGCATCGTCTTGGCGACGAATTTATTGCCGACTGAATTTTAATTGTGTTTTAGGATAAGTTATTTTCTGTTTGTTGGTTTCTAAACTTTACAAACTTGGGTAGCAATTACTATTAATGTGAGATCTGTGCATATGAACGATTGAATATCGCAAATGGATGTCCGATATCTGAGAATGCGTATTTCTCTTTCAACATTAATTTTCAGGATATCAGCGTTCATGTGGTCTAATAAAAATTATTTATCAAATGAATTGGTATTTCGATACACTCTCAAAATTATTTGGGATCCACTATCATATCATTCGTTTATTTTTTATATTCATGTTTTTCTCAAGAATCACCCTCGTTATATTTAGTGTACCTTCGCAAAAGAAAACTCTTTGGTGTCATCGTTCCTATTAGTGTAATTGAAATATATGGAAACCTCGCGCAAGTGGCGTTGTGATGCGAATATTTGATACTAGGTCAGCAGCATTACAAAGAGTGCTATTTATGAATGCTGAAAGTACATGACATTACTAAACATTTTGCCAATATATGATGTTTTCTGCCCGATTTAAACTGACTCACACGCCAACCAAGGCATGTCGACATTTAAAAATTACTTGTCTTTGGGTAAGCTCTGAAATAGTATAATATAAATGTAAATGAGAAATTAGGTTACACTAGCTCACCAAACGGAGGATTTTCAAAGTGATCTTGTGTAATACTTTGGAGAAAAAAGTTTGAAAGGAAAGTAGGTCAACCTATCTCCTAAAACAGGGGAGTATCCTGCCTAATATTTCGGAGGGAACGTAGGTTAACCTATCTTTTAAAACAGCGGGTGGCGACTTTCAAAGTGGTTCAAAATCACAAATTAATAATTATCAGATTAGGTTTAGGGATAAATCGAAAAGTTGAATTTCCAGCGCACCTAACCCTAATTAGTTGATTGCTATTTATATTTGGGGGGGGATTATTTTGCAGGGGATTTGTACAACGATCCACCCTGTAACTACTATGGTTTCCAGCCTGCCTCGTGTCTGTTAGATGGAAGGAGTAACAAATGTGAAAGTCTTTGCTGTTTACGCGAGTAAGCAACTGACACCGTGATACATTGCATGAAAGTTTTGTCCGCGGCAGGTGTTAGCAGATGTCATTTCGTTGCCGATGAATTCCCTTGTATTAATTAAACATGGATTCGCTTAAAGGGAACTTGGTTAACGAAAAGGCTTCTCTTTAATTCATAATATTAACCGGAGGAGCGCTTTTTCGAGTATCTATGCGGTTTTAAATGGGTTATACGAAAAGCTAGGGCACCTAACTTGTTAAAATCGGCAAAAGCACTTTCGCACTTTTTTTTCCGACTGCGAAGCACTTTCGCACTCATAATTTGCTTAGAGTTAACACTGGTCATAAGTCCTAATTCACTAATAAAGAATTAATTACATAAATTTTTTGAATCTTTTTTCAATTTTAAATGTTGAAAGAATACTTTCTATTATATTAAATATAGAGGCAGATACATTTTGCTAGAGAACTTTAGAAGTTTTTTTTTCGACAATCTTTCATTGCAGAAAAGCCAAATTTATTTGTTATAAACCATAAGTCACCAATGAAGGAGCGTCATTAATTATTACTTCTTTAGTCATTCTATTTTCAATTCTGTAAGATTACTTTATATTATATTGAATACAAACACAGACGGTCAAACTCATATTGCTAAAGAGCTCAAACATTCTTTTTGGCAATCTCCTGTGAAAGATTATATTTGAGGTAGTAAATAGGTTCTTTTTTTGTTCCCGAAATTGAGTTGTTTTTCATAAATTTCCCATATTGACCAATATCTAGTCATGTGCACAAGACACTAAATATTGATACCTGTTGTTCTAGGCTCAGTTTTATGGTAAATAACATTATAAATTCAGTAATACCATCAATTAGCTGCCATTTCTTTATAGTAATTCAATTAGTATTTATTAGCAAACATTCTATATTGACTGACATTATCTAGAATTCTCTGAAATGACCAATTACCTCATCTTGTGTTTGTTTTGTTTCTGTAATTAGGCCTACGCAAACATTTTGTTTATCTCTTTCACAGTGCAGTTTGAATTTCTACCACCCAGACTGACTAAAAATTAAACAAGCTATTTTCTCAATTTCACATTGCTTTAACAAAAATGCTAATAAATGTCCAGGTCGATTGTACATCTTATCAAATTTCAGCCAAATTATAATGGTTATAATAGTGATATATATTTTTCGTTACGATATTCGTTCTACAAGGAAATGATTTTTAATGTCTAGGTACATTGTACATCTTATCAAATTTTAAACAAATTTGGATAATTATACTCTTTTTGTTGAAGTATTATTTATATTTAACAAGGAAATACTTTCTATTGTATGGGTAATTATACATCTTATCAAATTTCAACCAAATTATGATACTTCGGCTATTTTTTGTTAAGGTATTATTTCTATTTAACAGAAAAAGGCTTTTCAATGTTTAGTTGAATTGTAAATCTTGTGTATGTAACCACTTTGAAAATCAAACCCTGCTGTCCATATGGTAGGCCATTAGCTCTTTCATTGTAAATAATTGTATAAGCATTTATGAATGTTATTAAAAGAAGGTAACAGTAATGCTTACTCAGCAATTTCACTCTTTCTTTGTCTGGTGAAAATCAATACTGATCTAGTTACACATTCTACATTGAATATTTAAGAATGTCTGGAACCTTTAGCCTTTGTGAGATTATTCATGGTAGTCACATGTTTGGTCCTGTCTCATTTGGTATGAAAATGGCAAAAATATCATTCTTATTTTACTATCTTAATGTTTAACCTGAGCTCATAGCAAAGAAATAATTGTAAAGATTATAGGGTGTCCCTAAAATCTTCAAATTTTTCAAAATTGCAAAGGGAGTTTATCGATACCTTATTGTTTTGGCCCTCACTGAAGTAAAAATACTTATTAAACAATTACTGATTAAAAACAACAAGCCTGGTTATTTAAAATATATAGAGACTTCATATCAAAATTGAAATTGTAGAGCAGGGATGGCGAACCTTTTTCAATGAATGGGTCAAAAAATATATTTTTATCGCGGAACAGATGAGAGTGGGTCACAGATATATAATCAATGTTTATATCTATAGGAAACTTCCGAAACAAATCTTATCTTCTCTTGGTGTAGTTTTGGGCTTTATTTATGCAGCACTTCTATCAGGGACTTTTTATGGCTCTCGATTTTATGAAATTAGAGTACCAAAAACACGCATATGAGTTAACGAAAACGTTTAGGATGATGCGGCAAATTATTTTACGGTTCCAAAGGGTTTGGAGGAAATTCCATTCTGATGGTGTTATATTTTTCGATCAGCTTTCAACCACATTAAGGCATTTTGTACCGCCCCATTGTTATTTCAGATTTCTAGGTTTTTATTTCAAGTCTGAAAGATTTTGTTTTCTCAACCGCATTGTAGGCGAGAAACTAATAAGCTGCAAAGTAGCATCTGGTTCTCGTATATCCCCTAAAACAGTCTGCAAATGGACCTCCGAAAAAGACGAGATGTTGCGAGAAATAAACAGTTCAACTGCATTGTTATGTCATAAACGATCTCAGAGCCAATAGCTGAATAACGTTACACAGCGATGCAGAGTGCAGACACGGCATCCAGATTAGGAGTTTTGAAAATTACCATACCGGCCCGAAAATTAACAATTTGAGTATAAGCGATCGCAGCCCTGGCTACCAAACTGACGGTACATTATAATAGTTCAGTTATTGCTAGATTAATTTAAGGCCGGTTTGATCAATTTTTATCACTGGTATATTAGCATTTTATTTTATTCGTGCCTTGGCGGGTCACGAATAAAACGCGGTGGGTCACTTCGTGACCCGCGGGTCAGTGGTTCCCGCCATCCCTGTTGTAGAGGGACTTTAAATGATCTTGCTGTATATCGACACAAATGTATTCCTGTAATGTGTCGCCTGATCAAATGCAGAACAAACATACATAATTTAGCTATGTCTAATCTGTGGGTTTGGAAACTTCAAAAACACTGCACTAGTGAACACTAGTCAAGTGAATCGAAACTCGCGTTAGATGTGTCACAAGCTTAGAGTTCCGTAATAGAGCACCGTGATTCCCAGCACCTGTACACAATGAAACATCTGCTGAATTTTGCTTAATGGAAATGCTACGCTCACACTCTTGTCTATGTATGTGACTTCATTCATAAAGCAATTTCTTTTGAACCCATGGCGATCACATCAATTTAGATGAATTTTCATAGAAATTCAGTTCAAATTTCAGTACTCCCATAGTGTATGTACCAGGTTAGGGTTAGGCCATATTTTATGTCGATTCTCCTTATTTTAGTTCTATTACGAGTTCGGGGAATGTCTGTTAGTTTTTGCCAAGTGAATATACCCCCTGCCCATAGGGTTCAGTCCCTTTACACAACTTGGTGTAAAGTAGGTAAGCAAAATTAGTTACTTCCAAATTGGTACACACACTTCCATTCTGGAGCACCCAATTTTCTTTATGTCGTAACATGAAAAGTGAACGTAATAGGGTACTGAATAATCAATATTTTGTTTCACATTCTGTGTGCTTCTATTTTCATCAAATTTTATTGATTATTTCAAAGGTTTATTTGCTTAATATAAATGAAGCCCTCATTAATTATATTGTTTACAGCACAATCTAAATTGGAATTCTCAGAAAATCTCCAGATTGATATGAACAAAAAATAAATTTTAAATACAGCCTGACGCCTGCTTCTTACAATGATGCATGCTACTGCCATTCATAAAAAATATTGTGCTTGTCTCAAATTTTGGTTTTACCATCTGTTTTTGAGCCATAGTAGAATCTTATTTCTATAGGCCTGTTTGTTTTTATAAATTATGAACTTCGTATTCCTGACTTCAAGTTTCTGGTAAATAATATTACTATGTTAACTATTTCATCTTTCAGGTGTCAGACGGAGCTTTGAGGTGTTTCGCTACTCTCGCAGACAGATTTACTAGAAAAAGCATCGATCCTGCACCACTTGATGCTCATGGACTCACCAAAGAACTTATTAAACGATTGGCAAAGTGTGTCAAGTTTTCTTGCTTGTGACTAAATAAAGCGTTTTCATTCTGAACAAGTAGCTGTACAGACAGTACAGTCGAGTATCGACTAGTCTTCGGAATAACTAAAATCTTTTTAGTAGGCAATGCTTACCTTTACTGCAGACATGGAATATTAATAAACAGGGATTTTCATCTTGTGAACAGAGTTTGGTCCGAAGCTCTAACCACCGGTCATTTCATCATGAACTCACCATTCAAAAGATAATTAGCTTTGTGCTCTGTATTGTGCTTGTAAATCTCAACTTCATGTTTTCACCAACAATTTTTTTTTCGAAATATCTATTATTAAACTTTCACTCTTCATTTCATGACCAAGTAGAAACGGTCAGATCTTGATCATTCTCTGACATTTACAAAATGAAAAGATGAAAACTTATGCAGGATGACATAACATGCCCAGTTCATAATACTATTTCTCAATAAACAGCACTCTATCTATAGTTGTGTGGAAGATTATGAGTTCAAATTTCTTCATTCAGCTTGAAAATCCTATTTTGTTGCAAATATACTATCATTTAAAAAAGTGGGATTCTAATTTCAAAAATAAAATTTTTTTACAGTTGTGGAAGTGCAAGAGCACCAGTTAATAACAAACCAGGGGCAGCAGGAGCGACACCAGGATCAACCCCAGATCAGAAACATAACTTTGGAATTACCACCATCATTAGTTTGCTGATAACACTATGCAGAGGATCACCATCTATTACCCATGTAAGTGTCGGCTTTCTGTTTTACTCTGGGATGTTCAAAGTTGGGGGGTTTCGAATACCTGATGATTTCAGAATTGATTTGATTTTTTTTTTCAAATTCAATCTCTAATTTGTGATATTCAAGTGCATGTGACTTTATCATTGTGATGGATGATATAAGCACATAAATTACTGAAAACATAGAATCCATCATTCAGACAGTTTGATGGGCGTTCACACACAATATGAAACAAGTTTCATCAATAATTAAACATGATGAAAAGATTTGTATGTCAAACTCACATTGTGAAAATATGACTTTATTAAAAAAATGACGAATTTACCTCTATCTTTTTGTGACCAACTTAAAATCAAGATGGCGGCGATTCGAAATTTTCGTCTGAAATGATTCGATAGTTTACTATTCGATTTTGAAATGTCTAATCTTATACTGTAGTTTTGATTGGAAAATTGATATTTAGCGTAATTGAACTCTCGCAGTATGGCCAAGTGTTCTCAAACGTTTTGTGTTATGGGATGGGTTTGTGTTATTTTCAGAGCGCTATAATAAATTTATAAGAATAAAAATAAAGAAACACATTGTTACTTACCGATCGCGATCGCATGTGCGAATTAAAATTACTTTATTCTATGTTAAATGTATTGGCTGCTACAGTAGTTAATATTCAGTATTTTAATGAGTAAACTAATAGCTTGCGAGCAAGCCACTAGGTTTCTCTGACTTTGGGAATACTACTTTGTCTTAGAATACTATTTTCTAATATGCCTGCTTCTGAATTAATTTGACTCATTTTGTGACTCATTTTGATCGATTTGATTTAAAACGTTTCTAGCAAGATTTAAAACGTTTCCTAGATTCTAATCTGTGAAACTAGACTTTACTGAAAATAATGCTGGTACTTTTGCCATAAAATCATCGATGTTTTGCGTTCATAGTTGGCATTCTGGAATTGTGCACTGATGTTATCAGTATTCTAATGAGGAATATTATCTCCTTATCAGTTGTTATTTTTATGGGTGGCTCTACTATTGCATTAGGTACTCCCATAGTATGTCTACCAGGTTAGGGTTGGGCCTTATTAATTTTATTCCAATTTTGCTTATTTTAGTTATATTACGAGTTCTGGGACTGTTTGTGTTAGCCAATTGAATATAACCTCTGCCCATAGGTTTCAGTTCCTTTACACAACTTGATGTAAAGTAGGCGTTAGTTAGGCTACCTCCATATTGGTCCACACACTTCTGGAGCCTTTTATGATTTATTACATATTGAAGCTCATATAAATTTATCTCTCTATATTTTTAACCCAGGAATTACTCAGATCTGATCTTCCAACTGCAATTGAAGAAGCGATGAAAGGGGATGAGAGGTAATGTTTTACTCATTATCAAAACTACTTTTTGAAAATTTGCTTCAATAACTGTCATATCAGAGATATATAAAAATAATTTAATTACATTCGAAATTTCTGATAATCAAAACAGTGAATATATGATTTGGGAAGAATTTGAAATTCATTTGATTTGTATTTAGTCTAAATATAGACTTTATTTAGCTCATTACAATATAAAAAACAATGTTTGTCTGACCTTTCGGCATTTCTGATTTTCAAAGTTAGAATAATACCGAAATAGACACTGCAATATCAGTTATGATTTAATTTTCGCTTCTTCAAATATAAACCTCAAACGCCTATCACTCCGGACAAGGCCAAATGCATAAAAAAATTGAATTCATAATTGTTCTTCCTTTTTCTGAATTTGTCGTAACACTGCCTTTAGTAAAGATTCTCGATAAATTACTATTTATTAAAGAAGGCCTATTTTCATTATTAAAAAATTTGGGAAGTCCACGAGAGTGCGTAAATTGTCAGTGGTGCTTGTGGTCCTCTGCTTGGATATTGAAGATTTTTGAGAATTACAATATAAAGAAGGCCTATTTTTACTATTAAGAAGTTTGAAAAGTCCACATGAGGGCGTAAAATTGTCAGTGGTGGCATGTTGCTTTGCTCGGTTTCAAACCTTTCATGCTTTGAGTGAATTCAGTTCAAAAGAATTTCCTAATACTTTTTCAGATGCTGCCTTGACACGATGCGACTCGCAGACCTCATTTTAATTGTTTTATTTGAGGGTCGTGATGCAATACCAAAGCATGGAATGGCTGTTGGTGCCGGACGTAATTTAGCGTTTCACAGATTTGAAGGTTTCGGGGGTGAAAGGTCACATAGACAACTGATTGATTGTATCAGAAGTAAAGATACAGACACGCTTATTGATGCCATTGACACTGGAGGTTTGTACATTAATTGATATTTTGGTACTTCCATAGTGTGTGTACCAGGTTAGGCCATTAGTCTATTCCAATTTTCGGTACTCCCGAAGTAGTAGAACGTAGTATGTGTATCAGGTTAGGGTTAGGACATACTTCTATTCCAATTTTCTATATTTTAGTAATATTACGAGTTTGGGGACTAGCCAAGTAACTCCCTTAGTATTTGTACCTGCAATAATGACCTAACCTTAACCTGGTACACATACTACATTTCGGTGTCCGCCATCTTGGTTCACATACTTCGGGAGTATCCAATTTTCCTTATTTAAGTTCTATTACGAGTTCAGGAACTGTCTGTGTTAGCTGGGTGAATATACCCCCTGCCCATAGGTTTCAGTCCCTTTATACAACTTGATGTAAAGTAGGCAAACAAAGTTAGTTACCTCCATATTGGTACACACACTGCAGAAGAGCTAATATTTTTTATGCGGTGATGGCCAGATGGAATTTGAAAAAAATGAAAATTTTGTATTTTATGAATAATTGAATACATGGCCAAAGCGAAACGGATTGAAATAGATTCTGATCCAAATATAGCTTAGAATAGTTTAATTCAAAAAATTCCATTTTCTTCAACTGAAGTTTCATGGCATGAATTTGTAAAAATAGAGAACTAATAGGTGTATAAACCTCAGAGACCTATGAAGATAGAACTGACTTTAAAAATGGATTCAGTTCAATATCAATTTGGCAAAAATAAAACCTGCTAGAGTTCATAACTTTTATAGAACAAGTTTTATTTTTTACCTGTTTTTCGTTTTTTTTTAGCGTTTGAAGTCAATTTCATGGATGATGTCGGACAAACTCTTCTGAATTGGGCATCTGCTTTTGGGACACAAGAAATGGTGAGTTTATTATGACATTGACACAGTCCACTCAAAAATGAGAAACCCACAGAACCCCAATTGTTGTTTGCGGAACATTGGGGTTCCATGGACCCTGATTAAAATGCACTGTTTCAGATCCAGCCTGTGTTTTATGTATTATAACTTAAGTCTATTCTTTCTATTTAGGTTGAATTCCTATGCGGTCACGGTGCAGATGTTAATCGCGGTCAACGTTCATCGTCCTTGCACTACGCAGCATGTTTCGGGCGACCTAATGTTGTTAAAACTCTCCTTCGCCATGGAGCGAATGCTACATTGCGAGATGAGGAGGGGAAGACCCCTTTAGAAAAAGCTAAAGAGAGAAATGATGAAGGACATAGGGAAGTTGTGAAAATACTGGAGTCTCCAGGTAAATAGCAAATAAATTGAGCATTGAGACTTTTATTTGGACTATGTTGGGTATCGCTTAGCCATACAGTGATAAATGCACCGAACAAGTTGCAATAAATTTAACGCAGCCACAAGGGTAAAATCATTATGTATTTTTGCCTATGTGAGTGTCAAACTAACAGATTAGAATTTTATGTACGATGCGGAAAATCTGATTGTTGACAAGGGCCACACTAAATGGCATAGCAAGGTTGTGAGTTGTGACCCATTGGCCGCCTGTTTTGCACCCTGCTTTATGCCAATTCTTTTGAAAATTGAAAAAATTATAATATGACATATGACCATATTACACTTAAATTATATCTATGAAAGCTTGTTAGTTGAGCGGTACAATCGAAACTCGTTGCTAAACACAACTTTGATGAAGTTAAAATCTCCTATTAATCTCCTTCGCTGTACTTGAATATACTAATTCTTATTGCAGAAAAATATGTCACGCCAGAAACAGACAAGAACAAATCAAAGGCAGAAAAGCCGTCTAAAAAGAAAGCGGAACCGAAGGAACAACCTGTTGAAAAAGAGAAAGGAGATCCTGAGATGTCCCCGATTTATCTTAGCAAGTCTGTATTATTTTCAATTTGAAAAAAAAAAAAAATTTGGTGGTTGCTGCCCTATGATGCTATTAATAGCCCTTGGAGTGGTTTTGAAAATGTTTTCGAATTCTATCCCAGTTTTTTTTCTTTCGTCCAATTTTAGACTTTATACTCTGATAATGGTAAAAAATAGGTTTTGACTGAGCATTTTAAGCAAGTTAATATTACTCTGTATTTGAAAAAAGACTTTTCAATTATTGTGGGGTTTTGTTGACCAATGCAACTGTGAGAAACTCTTAATGGTGATAAAAATGCTAATATCCTATTCCAGTTGTAAATTTTGGTCCCATTTGAGTTTGCGACACAATAAAATTTTTGTTGGTGTTCTTACATGCTTGGCAATATAGCATTATCCACTCTTTCTCATTATTATAATTTCTGTTCTATTCCTTCAGAATGCTTCCAATCTTCATAAGCACTTATCAAAGAGCTGTTTCAACAAACGTTCGAAAACTCTCTCTCGCCCTCGTGAGAAAAATGACTCTCTATTCTTCGCCGGATCATTTGAAAGATGTTTCGAAATTAAATGGAGTTCAGGAAGGGTTTGCCGATGTTGTATCCACAGCTTTGGATCAAGAGGTGGGTTCGTTTATATAACAGGGGTGCGGAGTTGGTGAGGGGGGGGGGTATCAAAAAATTTAGGAAAACTCCGCAATAAAAATATTTGGACTTTGGCTCTGAATTCTGGGAAAACCTAATTTATGATGCAAAAAACTTTAATTGTCTGTTGAGAATTCTTAGTCCACCAAAAATGTTATTACAACTGTTATATTCGCATATAAGCCAACCCCCTAAAAATGGCCCTGAAACGGTGAATTTATAAAAATTTGCACATAACCCTACAAAACAGGCAAGCGATCACGTATATGACAACTAATCACAGTGTGTTATCGCTGTCATAGCGTACCAAGCGCTGCTTTGTGTGTGTTTGTGTGTGCACGCTCTTATCGTGAAAACATAACATGGTTCGATTTGTAGCTGTTGGAATTAAGTTAGCATAATGTCATTTCGTTTGTGTGCGGCCATAGTTATGCGAGTATACTCTGAAATTTTAGTGTGATCAGAGTTAAATCAGTGTGTATAAACAGACTCCTCAGTTTGGCAACCTTTTTCTGAATTTTAAACTTGGCTTATATGCGAGGGCCGAGGATATACGGTAGTGCTACAATGCCTAATTGAGTCCAAATAAAAGGATTTCCGTCTTTTTCATTTTGTTTTTGTTTTGCAGGATGATGAAGAAAGCCATTATTCAAGCCTACAGATTGTTAAAAACCTGATGGATAAAAGCCGAGATCATTTCATCAACTGTCTCTCACGAGACTGGGTCGTCAATAAGATAGAAAACATCGGGGAATGCGGTAAACAAGAAAACATGGAAATTGGAGAAAACTTTGATGAGGATGCAACTAAAAAGGGGGCAGTCGGGGGCCAAATTACCACCCCAACTGAGGAAGTAAATTCACAATCAAAATCTGGCACGATTGATGACGTACCAGACTCGAAAACACCATCAGATTCCCAAAAAGTTGAAGTTAAAGTCTTAGCTGAAGCGACATCAATCGCACCGAAAGTCGTTTATAACTGGCAAGGTAAATGGACTTTAGTTCGTGGCCGAGATGGAATGTACCTGTGGAGTGATTCGGTTGCGATCGAACTCTCAAATGGAAGTAACGGCTGGTTCAGATACATCTTGAATGGCAAGTTATCAACTATGTACTCAAGTGGGAGCCCTGAGGGTGGAGCCGACAGTTCAGGTATTGTTATTATTTTTTGAATCTCGTATATTAAGAGGATTTTGGTTAGTCATTGGTTTGTGACATTTACAATAAACTATGATTCTAGCAGAGCTGAATAAAGGTATATCTGATGTTCATGTGCGTTCTGGTTTTTAAAGTGTATAAAGTACGAAATGCGGCTTTTTGTCTCTGACTGGTTGGCCACCCCTAATATAGAGGGGGAAGACCTTGGTTTCAAATCTCATTTCGCAATTTCGGGTATAATGAGTTGGGTAGGAAATAAGCATATGTATTTATATCCGCTTTACAATGATAATATTATTAAACTTAATTTCTATGTCTCTGGATTTTAAAACAGTGAATAAAATTTATGTGGTGAATTCTAGAATGTATTTGGAATTCCTGTTTTGAAAATAATTTTTCAGAATCTATTCGAAATAGTATTCAGTTATGGTTATCCTTGCCAATAGCCTATCAAAAAAAATACTGCCCTACTAAAAATAAAAGCTTTTTAAAGTGACTGAATGTGTTGAAATATATTAAATAGTTTTCCCTCTTTTTTACAGACAGCAAAGTGGAATTTCTAGACAAGCTACAGAGAGCACACGCTGAGGCAGTTTCGAGCCAAGAAGGCCTTGTATTGCAACCGATTTTCACCAAACATGGCCGACCTAAAATAGTTGTTGGTAACTGGTCAATGTGCAGCAATAATCAAGGAGAATTAACAATAAGCAACATTGATGGACATCAGGTATATAATTTTCTATTTCAAAATCAATGAAGTGCTTGGTCGGGTCAGGTTATTCCCAAAATGGATCAAATAATTGAATTTATCTAGATACATTATATACAACATTTTGAATTTTTGATGTAGTTATCCATAAAATATTATTTCATATCATATTTCAGAAATTCGATGTGTTCTTCAATAACTCTTTCTTTTTGTACCCTATTTTTTAGTTTATTACATCTGCTCGCGCCCCACATCAAAAATAACTAGCTGACAATAAGCTACAAATAACAGATAGTGAGGCCAAAGTTTTTTTTATTCAAAAAAAAAGCTGATGTGTATGGAACCTAAATATTCAAAATAAGACATGCATGATCAGATCTAACATTTTTTTTTTTTTTAATTAGCTTCCCGGCCCCTCAAAAAATTTTCTATGCCCCCTTGTGGCTCACTGTTTGATAACCACTGCCCTAAACCATCATTCTTTTTATTCCCCAGGCAACAATACTGAGCGAATCAGTGAGTGGGTTTACGTTCGAATCAAACAGAGGAACGAAGCATAATTTTGAACCTGATTCGAAAGCCACAGTCGACTTCACAACAGGCGTTGTCAGCAGACCATCTTCTGCTCAAGGAAGCGTGAAAAATAAAGAGGTAAAAATGAAATTTTACTGAGGAAAATTACTGAAACCAAAGTCACGCAGACTAGCTCAGAAGTAAAGGAGGTTGATCTTTGAGCAAAGTTACAAGTCACCACTAAAGTTCGAAGAATTTTTATTTTTGTGACTATGAATAAATGGCGCTCCAGAAGTATGTGTACTAATATAGAGATAACTAATGTTGTTCGCCAAGTTTACATCAAGTTGTTTAAAGGGACTGAAACCTATGGGCAGGAGGTATATTCACTTGGCTAACACAGACATTCTCCGAACTCGTAATAAAACTAAAATAGAGAAAATCGGATTAAAATTATGGCCTAATTCTAATAAAGTATATATCTTATGTTTTCTAATTAATAAATGTCCAAAGCTTCTTGAAGTTATAGCGTCTTGCTTACATGCAGGGATGTCCATAACAAATCCAGTATTCGAATCATTCAAAAAGAATATCATTCAATATTTTGGTTTCAGGATATTGGAATTAATTTAGGATAGTTTTATATAGAAAAGTATCATTTTGAGCAATTTTAGTATCTTTGTTCGTCCGAAAAGGCTTTTATTTCATTCCTAAGAATTGTTAATTTTTTGTATTTAAACTTGTCTTGAACCTTAATAAGCAGATAACTGGTAATTGCACAGCTGGTACATGTATTGGATAGGATAGGATTTACATATTTATCCCGGGGAGAGATAGGACGGCCTAACCATATTATGACGAACCACGGCCTCCTGTCTGGTTACCATTCCATGTCGGGTGTGGGATTAGTTAGTTATTTGTTTTTGGGAGCACGGACTTGATGGTGGAGGAAGCTGTAACCGACCAGCGGTTATGTGAACCGCCCTACAGCGGCGAGGAGTCGAGCAATTCTCTCGCACATAACCCCTCCTGGGATTCAAACCTACGTACCCATGCAGAGTAATCAGAGGTGCGGTGACGAGCGTATTTCTAACACCTAGCATGATGCGCCACACCAACACATTGAACTACAATTTTAAAGATTTTTTTATTTACAGAGTGATATGAAAATGAAAATCAGGGGTTTGGCAAAAGAATTGTATGAAGCACATTTCAAAACAGTTAATGACACACCTCGTGGTGTGGTTACTCAACTGAAGGCTTTGGCAGAGAAGATCAATGAGGCCAATACTGCAGAATGCGGTAAGCTGGCATATCAGTTTAACCCTCTTTTAAACACTCAACCATGCTTGACCCGAGTGTCCATAATCATTGTAAAGTGTGAAAAAGGGGTGTATAAAATAATTACAGTTATTGAAATTTTTTTCTGTTAGATTTAAATGATAGAGAAATGAACAAAATATATTCATCTTTAATAGGATTTTGTTTATGCTCTCATTCAGATGTAAATAAAACTCATCTTTGTGACCAAAGTGACGAGCGTCTGTTGTAGTGCCAAGAACTTATGAAGTAATATAGAATTATGATAGAATACCACCTACCTTTCAATCAATTATTCGAATATCAAATTTCTGCTTCGCCTATTTTTCCCTATAATAAAGTAATAGTTCAGTATCGTGAACTAATGCTCATAAGAGTCAGTCTGTCATGGTAACTGAATTAAATTTCCCTCCCTATGCCAGATTGTAACATACTCTATTACTTCTCATTTCAGCAAACTGGCAAGAACAACTATCAACATCATTACAAGATCTGGCAACCCTGCTTACTGATGACAAGACCATATCACCATATGAAATGTACAGCAGTGATATGATACAAGCTTTACTGGGATGTCTTGTTTGCAAGGTATTGAATTTAAATGGATAGATCGTGTATGTTGGTTCTACCGAGGGCTTCATTTAACAATTCCAACATTGGAATCGCATTTCCCTAATCTTATGCCTACTTCAAGTTTTCGCACCAAATTAGACTTAGGCAGTCAGTAGTTTATTTTTTTACCAAACTGAAAATATACTTGATGCGAACAAAAAGTAGAAAAACACATAAAAATGGCATTCCGCAGGGGCAGAACATGTTACAAAAGCAAAAGTGGAAACAATAAGCCTCGCGCCAGAACCAAATTAAATCACAATTTCAACAAATCCCGTTGCTAAATAGCTATTTTTAGCTAAAACATCAAAATCTGGTTTTAGTTTGGTGGCAGCTCTGGTGGGCCAGATTGAATTATCCGGCGAGCGGGATTTGGCTCGTGGGCCGTAGTTTGCTCATGTCAGCTTATAGTAGCACCAAATGAGGTTATCAATTCTGCATTTCAAAACTCTTCTGCATTTATTTGTAGACTGCTAACCCAGAAGACTCTGTGACTCGCATCAAGTTATTCCACAAGCATTTGTTAAGCGGGCCGAACTCATCAGGAAAAATATTGATCAAGAAATTAGTTGCTGTGCTGGAATCAACTGAAAGGTTAGTGAATTGATTTAAGGTTATTGCTTGTTTCAGCATTGCATTTCAGTTAATTGTTTATTCTGAGTCTCCAGTAATCTAGGCCGTATTTATTCTCAACATTCACATATTTTGAGCCCATAATTACTGTATCATTTATTTTATGGTGCGATGTACATGAAAATAGATGGATGTCGTTGGTCTATTTTGATACATCTGAAATGGTTGGTTAAAATTGTAATTAGTCCTGCAACATAGCATATGTGAACTATCTTCCTATTAGCTCTATTGCAAATAAATTTTTTTGTCTCCTGCAACTTTGCTCGTGGGTGAGCCTTCTTTACTTTGGTAGCGAGTGCACATCACCTTATTTTGTTGGAAAATCAATAAAATTCATTCTGTTTTCCAGATTTCCTCTCTACATTTATGAAACGCCGGGCAGTCTTTCTGGCGGGCTTCACCTACTCAACCGCAAATTACGCTTCAAACTTGAGAAAGCTCCTAGTGGCGGGAGTCCATTGACTCCAACCACCTCTTCAGCGTCCATACAGAATGAAAACGAAGATAACAACAAAGTTGCTGACAAATCTGGACTGATCAATTATACTGGACGAAGTTTCAGAATGGAACCTCTTTCTACTGTTGAAGACTTGGAGAAATTTCTGCTGAAAATGGTAAATAGGTTTCATTGACGTTACTATTAGTTGGGTTCTGTGGAACCAACAACCTTCTATTGCTCTATGCTTTTGCGAAAGGGTATGTGCGTATGTGTGTATAATGCAAGTGGGAGCTGTAACAGGAGTGAATGTGATTATACTATTTGATTCTAGAGCTGCACACTAACACAAATGTATTTTTGTAAATTTTGTATTTTATACAAATGTATAAAAAAACTTCTAACCATGGCAGTTGAGGGAAATAGATTAACAACTTTC